GGGCTGCGAGCAGGCGGCTGGTCCCCATTCCTGCCTGCTGCGTAGGTGTCTAGTGTGGCCTCGCCGAGTCTCTCAATCCTGCCGCCTTCTACGTTTTTTTAGTTTTTTTGTTAACGCTATCGATTTTCTGTCCGACTTGGATTTGGGCGGAGATGGGGTTGTGACAGCTTGAAGATACAGCTTGGGAAGCCCTGGCCGTTAAGGGTAGATACAGCTGTGTGCAGCAGGCACTTGCTTATTCTGGAAGGGTGGATGGCTTTAATGACAATGTGGTGGCACATTCCACTGACTGAGACTCACCAGTCTACGACTATGACGTGAGTAGGAAACTTGGGTGGCCTGTTAAATTTGAGAAAATACTCCACCATTTTTCCGTTGGAGAGAACTCGTTAAACTTCATGCCTTCTTGAAGATGGGTGTTATTTCTCTCTTGCTGACTGTGAGCTTTTTCGTTATAAGTAGGTAGCTGTGTGGTTTCAAATACAGCATTTTGAAATATTGGTACTTATTTGAACACATCTGTTTGTCTTACAAAAGTTGTCATAGGTAAGTAGCTCTGTACTCTACTGGTTTTGTACCTCATTATATCCTTAATAGTAATTTGTGATTAGTATTTGGGAATCTGTTCTCCTATGTCGACATTAGTCCCTCATCCTTCTCCTTGCAACAGATGTTTATTCTTTTATGCTTTTCCTATCTCAAACTGTTCTATCTTTAAGAAAGGCGGTGGTGTGTACATATTTGTCAGAAGGTTTATAGTATGCAGAAGGTTTATAGTATGCAAGCAATATTGCGTCAAAATACTTTGGGGTTCCCTCTTCCTGAATTCTTCATCAGCTAAATTGACTTTTACTTCTCAGCAGTTTGCTGCAATATTCTACATCATCTTTAATGATAAGAATATATACTCATAGAGCATATTTCAAAATCTGGTTCTTAACAGCTTGTTCAGTTATGCTGTAGTATTTCTAATGGGAAAATCTGAAAATGTAGTTAAAAGACATTTAAATGCTCAGCATGATAAGAAAAATCTGCTGTGTCTTTTAATTGCTTTGGTATTAGTATTTTTGGAGTTCTCTGCCCAAGTGCTCTACGGTTTAGAAGGTAAGCTTTAAACAACCTTCCTGTGTTTGACTGTTTCAGAAGTGGATGGAACTATCAAATTAAGAACATGAATTTTGAGAAATAAGTACTGAAAGATGGAAAAAAAAATCTCGATGAGCTACAGAGAATGTTAGATGCTAGTTACTAGTGTATGTTTAATTTAATACTCTACTCCTAGAGCTGTTAAAACCTTTTAGCTTAAATGTCAGCCACTGTAAACAGTTAAAGTCTTTCCCTGCTACCTGAAGTGTTGGTCCTCCATTGAATCCTTGCAGCAGTAACCATTAGACTGTTCAGACCGTTGGAACTGAAAATTTCTCATCAGTTTTGTATTCCTGTTAGCGGCACAGGAAGTAATAACTTAGGGATCCTATATTACGCTTGAGATAGAGGTACTAGAATTGCTTTTTTTTTTTCAGCAAAAAGAGGCCTTGATCCGAAGAGGGAATGAGAAAGCTTCTGTTTTGTTCCCACCCCTAGCAGATGTCTTAGTCTTCTGACTCACCTGAAAAAAAATATTGTGGAGAAGACTTTTGATTGAGTGGGAATATGGAAAGAATGCAGTTTGACTTTTATTGAGATGATTCCATGCAAAATATTTCACTTTTTGCATCAGCTAGCCACAGGGTTGATACCTAGGGAATTTCCATAGTTGGTTCACTAACACTGGAAATGGAATTGATAGATGTTACTCTGGCTTGTAATTTAGAAAACTACTCATGTCTTTGTGCAGGAAAATTGTAAAAACAAGCTGAAAACTTTCTATAGTGTGTGTTTGTGAATTTTACAAAATTTGTTCTTTATTTGCTGTATTTTCATTCCCAATATTATATCATTTTGTTATTGATAGTTTTTATACAAACTAAAAATGCAGATATGCAAGATTTGGTTGGTATAGTTAGTGAAGAAATGTCATTGAAAAGTAAATCTCAGGTAAACTGAACATTGTTAGAGCTTAATGGTGGGGATATGGTAAAGATCTTTCAAAAAATTAAAACCTTAAAATAACCTTAGTTTTCTTCTCTTACAGATAATCTCTGAAAGTATCGGAGAAGTAGACGTTTTGACAGCTAAATAGTTCTTTGTTGTTTGTATTTTGTTATTATTATTTTTGCTTCAATTTAGAGCATCCATAATCCCATATTTTTAAAGTGGTGCTAAATTTACGAGCAATCCATTCTTGCTCACTAGCATTTAAAAAAAACTACTCAGCATTTAATAGAACGTCATTTCTGGTTCAGCCAGCTCTCCACATTCAGGCTGGGTGTACCAATCATTTTATTGTGAAATATGAGATGTGATGTGGGGTATATATTTGCCAGGAAAGAAAGTAAGTTAGTTTCTCTTCTGTTGTGCAATAGTACTTTTGATAACACAT